TATGTATGTATGTATGTATGTATGTATGTATGTATGTATGTATGTATGTATGTATTTATTTATTTATGTGCATGCACATGCCACAGCTTGGCAGGAGTTTATTTTCTCCTTCCAGCAGGTGGGTTTCAGGGATCAGCCCAGGTCATCAGGCTTGGCAGCAAATACCTTTACCTGCAAAGCTTTCTCCTTAGACATGCAATCTTGAACATTTTTTTTTTTAAAAAAAGATTTTATTTTATGTGTGTGAACGTTTAGCCTATACGTGAACCATTTGCACGCCTGGTGCCCACAGAGGCCAGAAGAGGGCAACAGATCTAGAACTGGAGTTACAGATGGTTGTGAGATGCCCTGTGAATGCTGGGAATTGAACCCAGATCCACTGGAAGAGCAGCCGGTGCTCTTGATTTCAAGCCATCTCTCCAGCCCCCCGAGATAAAACCTTAGGAGCTGGACAGACGTTCCTTGAGATTCAGCAGTGCCCTTCAACACACTTCTTCCTCTACTGTGCTTCTTCAAACCCTTCTCTGCTATTGATTTGCTAATGGATGCTCGTTGCCTGTCTGTGTGGTACTCAGCCTTTCCCAGGCTCTTTAGAACCAGCAATGTTTGTACCTGAGACGATAACTCCACATCCTATACTCTTACGACACCGGGACACAACTGTCCTCTTGATCCCAGTAAGCCCTTTGATGACATGAATCTGTCTTTTCTCATCATCCCTGGACCACACCTTTGACAAATGATTTCAGAATCTAGCCGGTTAGAGATGACCATTCAATGGCAGTTCTCAGATAGGGTTCATGTGCCATGCCAGCCAGGGAGAAAATACAGATAGCGAGATTTCATTACAGCTGCTTTAGATTAAAGTAGGGCTCGTCAAATGAGCCTTACCCTGAGAACATGCAAATATTCTCGTTTACATGCCAGAAGGACTTTGTGGCTGTGACAAGTTCCTTTAAATGATCCCTTAGAGGGGATTTCAGGAGAAGGTACACATTAGAAGTTATTCTACTACTAGCTTCGAAGCTGTGGATTGGGCCACTAGCAGAGGAGTGTAGGTGAACTTCAGAAGCTGGAAAAGGCAACAAATAAGATTCTCCTCCAGGCCAGAGCAGTGGCACAGGCCTGTAATCCCAGCACTCGAGGAGGCAGAGGTGGGTGGATCTCTGTGAGTTTGAGGCCAGCCTGGTCTACAAACAGTCCAGGACAGCCAAGGCTACTCAGAGAAACCATGTCTCAAACAAACAAACAAACAAACAAACAAACAAAAACTAAAAAGATTCTCCTCTGGAACCCTCAAGATAAACCCAGACCTGCCTGCACTTTTTAGACTTCCGATCTCTAGGATGGTGAGGTGGTAAATCTGTTTTGCTAATAAGCTACAAACTTCGGGGTTGTTATAGCAGCGATAGGAAACTATACCTGCTTCTGCCTGTCTTCCCACTCTGCCTTCCATACTGCCGATCATCCACCAGTCCAGAGGAGGAACTTCGACATTTGTTTCTTCAGTCTTGTCTTCACACAGCCTCTCATCCAGTTTTTTTTTTTTTTTTGTTGTTCCATAGTTTGATAAAACCAAGTGAATATGAAATTAATTTTATTTATTACTTTTCTCCCTGCTGTGACAGAATACCAGAAAGAAAGAAGCTTAAGAAAGATTGTATTTTGGCTCACAGTTGTAAGGGATACAATCTACTGTGGCTGGGAAGCACGTGGTGGGAGTGTGAGGTAGCTGGTTTACAATGTTCCTGTGGCTCATGGTGAGGCACTTAGCAGTTTGATAAGAGTCTGAGAGAGGCAGATAGATGGGGAGCGGGACCATGATTATATTATTAAAATGGTGAATTTCCACCCTTCTGACCTGAGACAAAAGCCTGGCAGCTTAAAACAAAAGCCTAGCAGGCTCTTTCTACGTGTGGACAAGTTCAAGGCCAGGTCAGGATATTTTACTCCTAACTTGTGAACCTATAGTCCACATGAATCTGATAAAGAACCTTAAACAGTGACAATGGGCTGTTGCCACCTACACTCAAGATGGGTCTTCTGTGGAAACACCCCCATAGACAAATACAGAGGTATATTTCCATGGCAATTCTAAATCCAGTCAACTGGACAATGAAGATGAACCATTAGAATTCAGTATACAATCCCAAAGTCATTTTCATCCTCACAAAAAGACCAAAAGCATTCTTGTTAAAGTCAGAAGCAAGACAAGGCTGTCCACTAACACCATCTGATTACACTGCTCTAAAGGAGCTACACATGAGGGGAAATTTTTTTAAAGGGACAGCAGGAAGTAGACTAGTAATTACTTGAAATGTTATCACTTATACCTGAAAGCTTGAGAAAAGAAACCAACTGTACAAATAACAGAAACTGGGGGCCCGCTCAATGGTGTTTTAGTGCTCGCTGTGTACGCACTCACATAAAAAGCCAGCGGCAGTGGTGCGCATTTGTAGCAAGTGCTGGGGAGGGGGTTCAGATCACATAGTAGGGGAGGTTGCTGGCCAGACTTTCTGAAAAGGTAAGCTGCAGGATCCGTGGGAACTGAGAGGAAGGTCCAGTACACCTTCAGAGCCTTGGCGTACCTGCTCGAGGTCCTGTGTTAGGGTCCAGAGGAAGCCGTACAAACTGCTCAGACATGGATCTCAGTTAGATATGGTTTATTGAATGCAACACCCCAAGACTGATCATGGTCAGGGACACAGATTGGACTTGGGAGGCAAACTGTGACACTGATTGTCTTTTAGAGATAGCTTATAAAGGCAAAACTGCAATTAGGCCACAGGCGGAGGGGGCGGAGGGGGCGGTGGGGACAGTAGAACAGGGTGGTCACCTTTGACTTCACTAGACAAAGCAGTTCTGGCTGACCCTTAATTTGATTGGTTCCAGGTGAAGTTTATGGTTAGGGCCAGTTGCACTTACAGTTGGGGAATTTTAGGAGTAGCAGGGCCATAGAGTATGTTGAGCCTAAACATTGGTCAGCCTGACCTTGCACAGAGAGCTTATCTCTGTATCAGCAAGCTGCGATGATGTGGTTGTTAGGCCTGAAACAAAAATGGTTATAATTATACCAAAAGACTAGGCCTCAATATGTTCAATTGCTGTTGTGGATGGAAGAAAGAATGTCTCTTGAATTAAAGTATCAGTTAAGCAGCTCAGGAGGTTTTATCTTTGAGGACTTCTTTTTGGTGGTCCTAAAAATCAATGAAGGGTCTTGTGCATAATAAGCAAGGGCTCTACCACTGAGCTACATTGTCTGTCTGGAACGATTATATTCAAGGCCACTTTCAACATATAAAGATTCCACAACCGTTTTGTAAAAATGCATTTTTACGTATGTGTTTGTCCATATGTGTGCAGGTGACCTGAGAGGCCTGAAGACGGTGTCAGGATCTTCTGTAGTTGGAGTTACAGGTGGTTGTGAGTTGTAAGCCATTTGACACAGCATCCTGGGACCAAACTGTAGTTCTTTGGAATTAAGAAAGATAGGAAGGTTAACCTACAGGAAGGTTAACAGTCTTCCCTCCCTGTAAAAGTAACTGTTATTCTCCTGATGTAATTTGTCTTGGAGGCTTACCACTTCTGCCTGGTAACCTAGGCCTAGTCCTGAAAGCTTCTAGTTTCTGTACAATCCAACCTAGGCCTAAAATCTTTTCAGCCTGAGACTTACTGCTGAATAAACTCACCCTTTTTTAGCTCTTTCTGAGCTCTGGCTGGCTGGTTCAGAACTTCAACTGTTTTGGCTCAAACTCCAAGCTGAGTCAAAACTGGTTTCTTTCTTGGCTTCTGATTTGAATTGCTCTGCTTGGCCTCAAACTATCTCTAGCAATCTGTTCTAATCTCTGGCTCCTTCTCATTCTCTAGTTCATTCTGTCTTCACTTGTGTTTAGCTTGTTCTCTCTTCAACCTCTCTCTGTAAAATGCTCCCAGTAAAAACTGCCTCTGAATTCCATGAACTGAACTGCCATGAACTCAACTCCACTGCACTGCCTCTCAATTCACTGATTCATGCAAACAGACTGAACAGGACTGGAACTCATAGAGATCTGCATGCTTGTCTCTTGAGTACTGGGATTAAAGGCATGTACCACCTTGCCTGGACCTAAGCTTTTCTTTACCTGAAACTTGCTCTATACCAGGCTGGCCTTAAACTCAGACATCTGCTTGCCTCTGTCTCCTGGGATTAAAGGCATGTCTGTATTCCAATGGATCTCAGACCTAGGTCTTTGAATCTGATCTCTTGCCAGAGCAGCCATGTTCTGAATTAAAACTCCTCTACAGGATAGGCTTCATGATCTCTTCCTACTTCATTATTTGAACCTTGCTCAGCTTTTATATATTAGAAACACAACGCTGAAGAGTGCAAAATTTGGGAATAAGGACAGCAAAGAAGCAGACTGCAAAGTAACCCTGTGTATAATTGATGCTAAACAAAGGATCAGCAGGGTTGAAGAGATGGTGGATTCACAGAGGCAAGAACATTTACCATGCAGAAGCTGAAATTCATGTTTTTGGTTGGCGAGGGTACAGTGAAGGGGTGTCACTTAAAATCGGAGGTTACCATTGCTGAATCCTCTAAAAAGTCAATAGAATCTGATGCTAGGCACTAAACTAACAACGTGGTGCCGAGACTGTAAGTAATCCCAAAGCCTGAGGCTGACGCAGGACAATCAGCAGTTCAAGGCCATCTTCTGCTACACAGTTATTGCGATTATGCTTCACTGGCAGCCAGATGTTTCAGAGGGTGAAAGGCGCTTGCTGAACAAACCTGCCAACCTGAGGTCAAGCCCCGGATCCTACCAAGTCCTGCAAGTCGCCCTCTAACCCCCACAGTTGCTAGGTCGTGCCTGCACTCCACTGTAACAACAAATATAACTGAATGAATGAATACATAATAAACATTTAAAATGCTCTTTTATAACAGCGTCTATATTACGCTTTTATTTTATTTTATTTTATTTTTTTCAGTCTCTGCAGGTACCGTGCTCAGACATCCTGAACAGTTTTTATCTGATTACCCTGAGGTTGGGCCAAACGGTTTTTCTCGACTGTGCAGTCACAGTACTTTTTTCTCACCGCTCACCCCTTCCACGTGAGCAGATCGCAAATCTGCCTTCCCACCAGGGTCTGTGCCCCCCGAGGAGCCGTGACGCAAAACAAGTGTCTCGACGTTCAGGTCTGTTTTCTGAGCTGAGACGCTCGGCCCACGTGGCTACGGCAGTTCTTTCACAGGAGCAGCTTCCTTCGCCCCCTCAGGAAGCAGAACCCGCTCGCATCTCACACCGGTCGGCTCGTGGGGAGAAAAATGCCTTACATCTCACTTAGCCTTCAAAGTCGGGTCAAGGAGATTCCCTGAATCCCGCGGCCTCGTGACGCGACCCGACGCAGCAAGCCACCGGAAGAGGAGCGGAGTGGGCGGGGCGCGTGAGGCGGCCCGACGCGGAAGTCACGCGGCGCGGCGCGGCGCCTCTGGGTTCCGTCTTTCGGCGTTCGGCTCCTCAGCCTGGCGGGCCGTCTGGCGCGCTCCGCCGATATCTGCTCTTTCGGCGCTCGACTCACCCGCGCTGCCGCCTCCGCTGAAGGAGGAGCAAAGCTCAAGATGGCCGACAAAACGCCAGGCGGATCTCAGAAGGCCAGTTCAAAGGTAGTTTCTTAGGGATCTCCGTCCGTCAGTGGGTCTCTCGCCGTGGTCTGTTGCTTCCAGAAACCCCCGGCCTTCGCGAGAGCTCACTGGGGCGAGGGGCTGGGGCCTGTTCGCCACAGCGGGCCTGGCACCACTGCACCAAGGTGCGCAGGTTGAGAGGCCTGAGAGCGCGCGTCCGTCCCGGCCGGGATTCAGCCCCACGCTAGCTTGCGTGGGGCCGGTGGCCAGCGGGGAATCGGCCCCCGGTTGGCTTTGGGCTCGGACCCTGGGATGGAGAGAGTGGTGCGGCGCCCTTGTGTCGCAGCCCGCTGCGTTCGGAGGCCGCGGGCGGGCGTCTTGGGAGAGGCGGGAAGGTGCCCGGTCCTGAGTGTCTGTTCCTCTCTCCCTCACCCCCCGCTCCTTTTATTTCGGATCTCACAGGCTCCCGGCCTTCCTCGGTTCCCCTCGCACCTCCCAGGAGATTAGGCTGGACGGCTGCAAGCGTGTGGGAGAGGGCCCGCCTGTGGAGGGCCTCGGGGTGGGGAGTGCGGAGGGAGCCGCTCTGTGCCTTTGGGTTAGTTCCACGCTCCACACGTGGCTTTCCCCCTCACTTCTCAGGGGGGTGAAGAGCGTCTAAGACCACTTTTGAGGGCCGCAGGCTGGGGGTCCCCACCCCTGCGCGGGGTTCCCACTGGAAGGAAAACTACAGTAGCCCTGGAAACTGCCCGAAGAATCGTGCCTTGCGTTTTGAGTTTACAGGGAATCCTGTGCACTGTTTGGGAAACCGTTGAGTTGTGAAGGTAGTTTGTTAGTAAGGTTGTGTGGACATCTGGTGTTAGTTGCCATTTTGGCCAGGGCGTTTAAATGTGTCTATGTCTCTTGCACTCGCTTTCTTTTCTTTCTTTTTTTTGGTATTTCATATTTTGCTTTGAGATTCTCATCCCCAAGTTGTCATTAAAGATGTTAAGAGCTGCTATAAAAAAACAAACAAACAAAAAACACCTATTTTAAATGCAGAGGTTTTAAATGCAGAGACAAGAAGTTGGGTAACACTTAAGAGTCTAGGGACTTAAATAGTTATATGATTATCATCATCTTGCATTTCATTTGCTGTTTGATTTGAGAAAGAACACATTATATACTTGCTTTTTTTTTTTTTTTGACATTTTTGCTGAATTATTGCCCCATATTTACTTTGCAAATAGTAATGGCCTTACTAGACATTCTTTAGCTAGGTAAACTATGGTAGGGGCCTAGTTCTGGGTGTGCTTACACCAAACTTTTACTGTAAATCAGTTTCCTTTCCAGTAGATTTCCCCTCCTCACCTTTCTTGGAGAGAAGGTGAATGAAGGAGTACCTCATGCTGCCAGTCTTCATTTCAGACCCATGATAAAACCAGCTTCTCAATGTTTTAAAGCTAGCCACATCCATACTCTGTTTTGTTTTGTTTTTTTTTTTTTTTCTTTTTCTTTTCAAACTGTTCAGTTTCCCTTTGAGGCCTGGATTCATTGAAAGTATGTGTTCAGACTTCCTTCTAAAAGAATACTTGTCATGACTCTGAATGTGTAGTTTTCCCTTGAAGTAAAAGTAAGTAACTTGTTGGATTTTTCCATTAACACTTTTGGCAGTTTGTAGTCCTTTAGATATTATTAACAGCTTCCTTACTGGTGTCTGTAAAGGGAATATTTGGGCTCATAGTTTTGCCACGATTTCTTCATTAGTATGGAAGTGCTGTAATGGAGCGGCAAGGTTATATATATAGGCTTTGAAAACAAACAAGACATATGTATTCAAGTCCTGACTTGGTAGTTAAGTATATTTGTGATAATATTAAGGCAGGTTGTCTAATCTCTTGAGCCTCAACTTTTCTCAGATAAAATGTTTTTTATAGGGCTGATAGAAAGATTGAGTTAATGTCTGTAAGTGTATAGTAAATCTCACTTCCATTTCTAAATCTGCATGTCATCCATCCATCCTGCTTACTAGGTTTTTGAGACAGGGCCTCATGTAGCCCAGGCTGGCTTGAACTTGCACTGTAACCTTCAGCATCCTGATCTCCTCTCTGTTTCTCCAGAGTTGGGATTACAGGCATATGTCAACCATTTCCAGCTCTCATTTCTTTTTTAAATAACCAGAAAGCACTTTCAACATGTCAGGATATTCATTGATCCTGTGATTTGGATTCTCACGTTATAATGACTGCTCCAATTGCTGGTTTGTTTTTCTAATGTAAGTCCAGACATTATTAGATTATAACATCAGTTTGACTAGTATTATAGTATTTGGAATTTTCAGGCTTTCATACGACTTGATTTCCTTTTCTCTGGAAATAACAGGTATTTACCTTGTATTCTGTGCTGTACTTCAAGTAAATAGATACTTCTGTTTCATGCTCTTTCTTTGGTATGGATAAGAGTATGAATAGAGGTGTTTATTAGTCATTTCTAGACATTGAAGAACATGTTTACTTTGTAGAGGATACAAGGCCTTTGCCATTGGTAATGGTGAAGTCTCTTTTACAAAAAGTGTGTTTGTGTACCCTCATGCTACAGTGCATCTGTAAAAGTCGGAGGACCACACTGTGGGTGTCAAACTCAGGTCTTCGGGCTGTGTGGCAAGTGTCTATATTCTGATCTGTGTTTCTGGCCCCTTAGTGTTTCTTAATAATAAAATACGTAAGCCACTAGAGTTCTTTTTAACTTTAGAATTAATTTTATGTATGTAATCAAATGATGTACATAGTGTATGTATTTGCTCCTGTTAAGGAAACTTAATGTGAGGGAGGCTGCCCTCACACATTCCCTTTTATTTTATGTAATTGTTCTATACCTTTCATTTTAATATCTCCTGATAGATACTGAGTATGTATTCTAGAAATGAATAAAATTTTCTATTGCATTTTTTATTACTAAAATATTGCTTGGCTTTAGGAGGGGTTTTAGAGCCTTATTGTAGCTTTGTTTCAGAGCAGAGAGACAGAATTGAGATGTTTCTGACATTAAAAAGTTAGTTTATTAAAATTTTGTTATTTTGCCAGGCAGTGGTGGCGCATGCCTTTAATCTCAGTACTTGGGAGGCAGAGGCAGGGAGATCTCTGTGAGTTCCAGGACAGCCAGGGCTACACACAGAAACCCTGTCTTGAAAAGCAAACAAAATAAGAAAAGAAAAAAATTTGTTACTTTGACCTGATTTTGTTTGCATGTCCATACAAATGAGGATTTGAAGAAAATAATTTTACTGTGTGCCAGTTCCTGTTTCTTTTTTAAAAGTGAAATGCATTTTGTTTATTGTGTGTGTTTTATGTGTAGGCCTGGGTGGAAGTTAGTGAACAACTTGAAAGACTTGGTTTTTTTCCTTTATCGCTTGGGTTCCTGTAGATGGTACTTAGAATTGTCAGGCTTGGCAGCAAGCACCTTTACCTGGTAAGCCATTTTGCCTGCCCCAGTACCTTTTGTTTTTAAATCATCTTTTGTGTAACACTTTCTGTGGAGATGTGAACATATGTCTACTTGCTCTAGATAGGGAACTGACAGCAGACCAGAGTGAGGGTACCAGCAAAGTCCAGTGTGGTGACCCAGAGTGGTTATTAGGTTTCCTTACAGGAATAGGAAATAGAGGTTATTTATAGTAACAGATGACTCAAAAACAGCTATTTGCAGTTGGTCTGAGCTTTTTCCAAGCAGCTCAGCTTGTCTGAGGGTCTTCTGCATAGTTAGCTGGTTTGTTTCAGGTGTTTTGGCTGGACTGAAAAGTGTCTCTTAGCAGTCTTCACTGCTTATATGCCCTTGAGGAAGTAGGAATCTAGGGTACCTGGTTAGTTTCAGGGTCTTCCGGAAGCTTTTGGGCTGTTTACTTTCTAAGCATCCCATGCAGGATGGGATGTTTCGCCTCCCTTTAGAATATTCTGTTTCTTAAGATCTGCACTCCAACATGGAGGTTTAGTTTGGAGGGAATTGCTCTATACTACCATCAAAAAGTTGTCTTATGCAGGTAAATGAATAAAGCATGACATACTGAATCTTTGAGCATGTAGTATTGAACTGACAGACGGATTACTAGCAAAACGTAAATTAGAAGTTAGTTAAGGCTTAAGATTCCTATTTATTATTTCCAATGTACGTATTTGTGTGTGTGTTTTACCTGGGGATTTAAGTGCGAAAAATAGTTTGCTGGCTTGAAACTGAACCTGTAACATGTCATGATTACAACTTTATCTTAAAATATAAAATGATTAACGTTTTTTAGTGCTTGGTTGTGTTTTTGCATGGAAGTAGGAAGTATGACATCACCTCCCCCCTTTTCTTTGCGACAGGATCTTACCCTGTAGCTCAGACTAGCTTCAGACTCACTGTGTAGTCTTGACTGGTCTTAGACTTTTTATTCAGTATCTGGAGTGCTAGGATTATAGGCCTGATCATTATGTCCAGCTTAAACTCCCTCCCTCCCTACTTTTCTCCCTTCCTTTCTTTTTTGTTCCCTCCTTCCATTTTTCATAGACATGGTTTAATGTTCTGGCCTCAAACTTTCTATGTAGCTTTGGATGACTTTGAACTCTTTATCCTTCTTTCTACCTCCTACCTCCTGAGTGCTGAGAATACAGGCATGCACCACCTCTTCTAGTATATAAAGTATTGGAGATCAAACCCAGGGCATTGTGCTTGCTGAGCAAGCACTCTACTAATTAAATTACATCCTTGGTCTCTGAACTCCCATTTTCTTGATTAGTATGTTTTAGACTTGATTGTAGATCTATTTATTTCATATATGAGTGTTTTTCCTGAATGTATGTATGTACGTTACATGTGTGTCTGATGTCCAAGGGCAGAAGAAGGCATCGGTCCCCTGAAACGAGTTACTAATGGTTCTAAGTTTGCTATGCCCTTGTTCTTTGTTAGTGCAGCAAGTGCTCTTAACCTGCTAAGCCATCTTTCCAGCTCCCCTCCTCCAATTTTTTTAGGTTTATTTTATGTATATAAATGTTTGTCTCCCTGTCTATATGTGCATGAATGTCTGGTGCTTG